CACATGCTGTTCCCCTCAGTTAGTGCAATTCCTTGGCCTTGTATGAACTAGGGATGGAAACACTCTCAGTTTGTCACCCTGCAGTTCTTTCCATGTCCAGCTTGCCACGTTGTCCTGGAGCACCACACACTGCAAGCAGAGATTGCCATTGCCAACAATTACTGCTGGTCACTGGGGAAAAAGGTAGCAAGTCTTGGTGGAAAGCAAAAAAAATAAAGCATTAGGAGTTCTCTAGTCTCCCAGGAGTGCTAATTGTACCACTAGCTGCTAAAATAAAAACCGGTCTTGCTGAGTATTTTTATCCCTCAAAATTAATTTACAGCACATCTGTCACAGCAGGATATACCATTTCCCTACAGAAAATCAGTATTTCTCTTGTGCAATTGCCTTTTCGATGGCACATTATATATAATGCATTCATGCACAAACAGTTCATTCTGCCCTGGTTATTCTCCCTGTCATAGCCTGAGTATTTTTAGCCCTCATGTGATCCTCCAGTATTTTCCAGCTCTGCTTTAGTCATCCTGCTCTCACTGAATATTTCAAACTAAAAAAATCTAACAGCCTTCAGATCTAAGAACCTCTCACATTTTTAGCTTAAATGTAAATAATTAATTTTATTAAGCTGTATTTATTAAGCATGTATTTTTGACACCCCACACCCATACACTAGAGAGTGCTCCATGGAGATTTGCTCTGACATGCAGGAATACTTACGTAAGACACTAAGCTAAAATCCTGACAACCTGATCACTATTTTCAATTTTGATCAGATGAAGCCTTTTCCGCTGTTTCCCGCAGGGAGCATTAGAACTGGCACAAACAACAGTGCCCTAATATTTTAATCCTGTACCGCAATTCTGACTCTACATCTGTGGGCTGTTTACCACTGCATTAGAGAAGAGCGGAGGCTGTAGGAGATCGAAAGTTGGCTCAGGGCTGGCAGATGGCATTAGATCTAAAAGCAGCTGTGGTGCTGCTGCCAGAGAACCTACAGCAGTGGTCTGTGCTGCTCCTTGAAGGAGGAAAAGACCCCCATTTCCCCACCCAGGAGCTGCATTCACCTGGTGAAACCTTGCTGCTCCTACTGTTTCTAGGAGCAGACTGTGGCGCGTTACCAAGCCCATCCACCCACGGCACCACCGTCGGCTCAGCCACAAATCAGCTCCATCTCTGAAGGAGGGGACAAGGCAGTGTGAGATGGCACAGCAGATTAGTTGTAAGGACCTATTTACGCTTCCATTTCCAAGCTGAATTATCCTTGACCTGCGCTGACTCCCCACTAGGATCACCTTTGGAATGGGAAGGGCTATGGCTGCTGGCCTGCTCATCAATTAACATAAAAAGCCATGCATTTTTAGAGTTCTCAAATTCTGGGTTGTTTTAGAAGTGTTTGTTTTCCAAATTAAAAAAAGACCACGCTCTGCATTTATAGAGATACAGGTCAATATCCTTTTACAGGTACAGAAAGCAGCTACCTGATACCAGGCATCCCATCAAGCTTTAGAGTCTGATTAAAATATCAAAACCAATTTTTATTCATGCCAGTACCTTTCTGGATAAGTCTTCAGAGCAACCTTTAAGGATTTGGCCACTTGTTAACTCAAGGACATATATCTTAGTCTACTGAAAATACATTGTTAGAACAGTGTTATAAAGCAGTTATGAATAGTCAAGAATCATCTCCTAAATCACTCAAGCCCAAAACTCTGTCAAAGGGCATTGGAAGAGTTACTCCATGGAGCAACAGGAATCACCTGAAATGAAACTGCTAGTAGCTAAAGTAAATTATTCCTTTAGAAATACATATATCTAATCAGTTTAGAATAGGTGTATTTTAAAGCCTGCCAAACCCCAAATATGAATGAGTACCCATATATCTGTTTTCTTCTAACACCAAACAATAGATGCAAACATGTAGGTATGGCCACTGCATGCTGTTTAAAAACTTTCAGGTTATGCTGAAAGATCTTCTGGGTTCTTTATTTTTTCTCACTTGTGCTTCCTTTTGTTTTGTTAAAGAACTGACTAGGCAGTATTAAAGCTTCAAAACTTCAATATTAATGTAGAGCAAATTGCACAAATGAATAATGGCACCAAGCTGTGTGGTGTGGCCATGTGCTGGAGGGAAGGGACACCAACCAGAGGCACCTTGACAGGCCTGAGAAGTGGGTCTGTGCAAACCTCATGAAGTTCAACGTGGCCAGGTGCAAAGTCCTGCACCTGGGTCAGGGCAAACACAGGCTGGGTGGAGAATGGATTGAGTAGCCCTGAGAAGGACTTGGGGTGTTGGTTGATGAGAAGCTCAGCATGACCCAGTAATGTGCACTTGCAGCCCAGAAGGCCAGCAATATCCTGGATTTTACATTATGGTTCCTATAGCAGCTGTAATGAATACTCCTTCACTTCCAGCTAAGTGTGGACGACAGAGGTACAGAAGCACATCTTTCATGGTAATTTCCCAGCTGCCCAGAACTTGCTCCTGCATCACCCCAGTTTACTCCCAAACAGCAGGAGATGAGGCACACACAAGTTTGCAGATGCATACAGAACTCCTCCTGGAGCATCAGTGAAGGCTCTCATTCCTTCCAATGTGCAGGCTCTGTGACGGGGTGAGGCAAGTTACAAAGGCACCACACATTAGTGCCACGACAATGTACTCACCCAGAATTCAGTAAACCCATGCAATGACTGACACCTAACTGAATTAGTTCTGTTGTGAAATGCAAGCAGCAAGAAAAGCTGGAGCGCTTATTTCACCCAGCATCATGTAATGTCTTTACTCCACCATCCTCAGCTCAGAAATGAAACTAGTGTCCTGCCTGACATACTTCTGGAGAATACTTAAGTTAATAATGAAGGAAGTTTTCCATGAAAAAGCTAACTCTCAGAGCTACAGGATCTTCTCAAAACTCATCACACTGTCTCAGTTGTACAATCCCACACAAAGGCTGGGGAGGCACAGGACATGCTCTTTGTACAACAAACAACACAACATGACATTACTGCATTATCCTCCATATCAGCTGGCTGGTTCCACTCCAGTAGCTATTCAATTTCTGTAGGATTGTCACCTCCACAGCTTTAATTTGGATGACGTATTTGTGACTTTGGGAAGAACAGACCATATGTAAGAAGAATTAACAAGCACAGTAAAGTCTGTGTTTAATAAAAGTGTCTTTTCAAATTTCTGAATTGGACAACATCTTGACATAAGCACTTGGGTTTTCTGGTTCCAAAGGGAGTGCAAGACATCACATGGAAAATTGGAGCATGCCAGACCCTGAAATTCAGAAGTTCAGGCATAGACGGTGCAAAACAAAGATGTAAACAAGCTTTAGAAGCCCAGAGTAGCACTGGGCTGCTATTAGGTGCCCCATTTCCTGGAAGCACTAATGAGCTGAAGGCAGCTGGCCAAGTATGCCCCACTTTGACGTCAAAAGTGATCAAAGCAGAACACTGAAATCTGGGTAGGATTCCAGAGCACAAGGCGGCCTAAAAGTGAGGGTGCTTCATGCTTCACACCTGTCTCTGCTTTTGTGAGTAGTGGTGCATATCCGAGCCCATGAGAGGACAGGTCACAGATTTAAAATCAGCTAAATATTAATCCTTATTTGAGGAATGAGTTAGCATAAACCCAGGACAAACCAATAAAGGAATTAGGTGTGTGTGCATGTGTCTTTCCATATGCACGAACCTATGTCCAGTAACACTTATTTAGTGACTTTTTTTTTTTCTTAAATGTTAGCTGCTCTCCTATTCACTTAATCCTCAGTTAACGAAAATGGCATTTGCTTAGTGAGTAGTCATACCCACATTACATAAACACCAAAGATCAGGTTTAGTCCTTCGGCCTGTTCCAGAAACACTGCTGTGGTTTAACCCCAGCAGGCAGCTGAGCCCCCACAGCTGATCACTCACTGTGCCCTACAGTGAGATGCAGGAGAAACCCAGAAGGGGAAAAGTGAGAAAATTTATGGGTTGAGATAAAGACAGTTTAATAGGTAGAACAAAAGCCATGCAAACCATTCATTCACCACTTCCCATGGACAGGCAGGAATTAACCCATGTCCGGGAAAGCCAGACTCCATCACCACCATCAAATGGTGATTTAGCAAGACAAATGCTGTAAACTCTGAACATCCCTCCCCACCCTTCTCCTTCTTCCCCCAACTTTTCTGGCTAAGCACGATGCCATGTGTTATGGATCATTTGTTCAGTCTATTGGGGTCAGCTGTCCTGGCTGTGTTCCCTCCAAATTTCTTGGGCACCCCCAGCCTGCTTGTAGGCAAGGCAATATGAGAAACTGAAAAAGCCTGGACTCTGTGTAAGCACTGATTACCAGCAATTAAAACATCCATGCCTTACCAACACTGTTTTGGTTTTAAATTCAAAATTTAGCACCAATCTTCTCTGAAGCCTTATCTCTATCCTAGCAAAACCCAATAGAAGCACAAAATAAAAAATTAGAAGACTGAGGTGTTTCAGTTAGGAAGACTAGCATACCCAAACAATAAACACACATAAAACCAAAAATAACTTAATTTTTATTCTTCTGGTCAGCCTTTAAGATTAGGAAACATTTTACTCAGAATAAAAAGTGAAAACTAAATCAGCCTGTGCAAGCATTTTATCATAAAGATGGAGGTGTGAAAGAAGAACACACTCCATTTAATGTTCTTGAATACACTTGCACATACCACATTCAGCAACAGGATAGTTAAAAGCCTTTGTCTCCACCACCAGACATTATCAGAGTCCATATCATTTACATGGAGGGGGTTCAGTGGAGAGGACCCTGTGCTCAGTAGGGCTGGCCCGAACCAGAGCACACAAGATGTTAACTTTCTGCTGTCTCAAGATGCTAAGCCTATGATAAGGTAAAAAAGAATGGCACAACCACCCAAGGAAATAATTTTAAACTAGTATTTAAGTAGAGTGGACCATAGTTTATAATTGTCTTCAAAAAGAGAAATGGAATTCTTTAAGATGCAAAATACCTGCAGTTGGAGAGTTTGCATGGTGAGACTTTTTGGGCAGGTTAAAGATCTGTTCACCAGGATCTGGTGGAGGAAGAGCATCTTGGCCTTGTCGAGCTTCCACAGGATCATACTCCTTCCCATCATAGTTAGCGTCAAAGAACTTCTTAAACCATTGAATGAAATCTAAGTTGTCTTGGAAGCGCCCTTTGACCAGTTTTTCCACAGGAATTACCTAAAAGGTAGATATTAACATCTAATATTACATCACTGTCATATTTTTAAATATAAAAAATGACATATACACACTTATTTTAAAAAAAATCTACTAACTGCATCAACAAATAAATCTCTGCCATTATTTTGTTCCTAAAAGAAAGGGTGAATTTGCAAGTGATCTTAAAAATGAAAACAAAACCCAGCCTTTGAAGCAGCAATGCAGTAGGTGTAGGTAAGCCTTTATAGCTGTTGTTCCATAGAGATACTCCCTTATATCCCATGGGTACATCCCATGATGAATGACACTGTTCTGGGAGTAACACTATGTTCAGCCTGCTAGGGATTTCTGGTTTTAATGCATGTGGTACAGCTTGATGTACTACAAACAAACAATTCTTCAAAAACTCCAGACAGATGTTTCTTGCTCTCTGTCCTACTGTTTGAACTACAAAACCCAGCAGCTTTTCCAAGACATGCTAAAATTCAAACCAACCTACATTTTGGTAGCACATGGTCATCAGATGAACGAACCCTGAGGTTTTAATCTTGTAATTTTTTTCTGTTCCACATATAGCTATACACAGAACAGTTTGTGGACATGCAGAAGTTAACTTAAATGCCTTATCAAGTTCTAGTAAAACAAAGGAAAGGCTATGAGGATATCTCCCTATCAATACTTTAGAAATTCTTCACAGACATGAAACCTCCAAAAAGTGTCTTCAGCCAATATTACAGCACTCAAGGCTTCCAGACACTATGGGCAGACAGGGACTACAGCTGCAGAGGAGCTTTGCTTAATTCATGCCACTGATTAGACAGCCAAGTTAGGTGGACCTAGTGCCTCTTGAATGTTATGAGTTTTCAGCTGGAAAAGGGTTTTCATTTTTTCTTCAGGATTAAGACAACTGTACAGCATTTTATAAATCTATGATGCTTCTGCAAGAATTGACATTGCATTTTGCATGTCTTTTTAGGTTATTCCATTTGTACCTTAACTCTACATTAAAAAGGCATGATAAATTTGCTCTCTACAGGAAAATTGACAATTAGTCATTAGCACATTAATCTTCCCAATGGTTCATTAGCAAATCACACTGTAAATAGAAGTGACCATAACATTTCATAAAAAAATGAGGGTTTTCCAGTTTTTCATAGAAGTCTTAAGGAACCCTCTGTTATGACTGTTTAAATTTCAGAATAAGGCAACACTAAAAGCCAGAGCAGAATCTTAAAAAGGTAAATAGGCAGTGCATCAGTGTAAAACTATAAGCATGATAACATAACTTCCAAATTAATTTTTATCAACTGAGTAATTTATATTGGTGAGTCTGTCAAACTCACACATTCAAGTATAAACTAAATACCTTAAAGCTGAACAAGCATTTTCTCAGAGGCTTCTATTATTAACTTTACAAGATCCCATATGCTACCCAATCTATTAAATCACTGGGTAAATTATCCCAGCTTTTGAATAATTTAAATTCCCCAAACACTGCTTTGGACAAGAAACATGGAATACTTATAGGAACAGCATATTTTCAAGTTGTTTTGTTGGAAATTCAGGAAACCAATAATTTTACTTATCAAAAAATAAAGATTCACTGATGACAAGGAATTTCTGACACCTGGTGTTTTATCAAAGGGTCTCTGATATTAAGATATAATGAGTTAGATGGTACAACTCCTCAGCAGACATATGGGCTCAATTTTCAATTTGTACCTAAATGGAGCCAAATGCCAAACTTGTTCTTTCATGCCCAAATACCCTTTTCAGATGATGAAAGGTCAAGAACATTTTCATACACTACTCACAATTCCATTCTCCATCCGAAAGTTGAAAAAGCACATTTTGAAATATTTTGAAGTTTGTTTCCCTTATTTATTAATTTAACACAATTTATGTAACTTTTGAAACACATAGTGATCAAAATACAAATACAGAATGCCTACCTTATCCACATTCATTCTTTTAAATGATGCCTGCAGAAGTTTGAAGTTGTGAATGTACTCATGCTCCAGCTTTGCTTGAAACTTTACTTTCTTCAAGCTGATGCACCCTGGGAACAACATGTCCATGAACTGGCAGTAAGCTGCTCCTATAACAAGAGAATGCATTGACGTTAATCCAGATGCACCCAGCTAAGACCAAATGGTGTTTAATGCCATTAGCAGAAAGCAACAGTGATGAGTAAGTCCCTGCTGTAATTCAGCCTAACACTATGCACCCAAGACCTGCTTATCTAATGTACATTGTGCAGTGACATGTTCAAGTGCTTCTTTTCCACTTGATCTGGATGCACAATGCACTGTTGTGCAGCATCCGAGAGGAATCACCTCGATTAATGCAAAGTGAAATGGATGTTCTTGGAGTCCCTATACACAGCAGGACTGTCCATACAATGAGAAGATAACAGTGAAAATGAAAATCTCTTAATAAGCTTCCTCAATCCCCACAGTCCCCTGAATTCAAACAAGCCAGGATCATCTTTCTTCTGGTCCTTGTACCCACATGCCAAGCAAGTCCAATGCAATTATTTAAGATTCTATTAATGATTAAAAAAAAAATTAATTGCAAGGCTCCAGCTTGTTAAAACACACTAGTCAGTTCCCACCCCTCTGCAATGAACATCCTTGCTGATTTTCACTTCCTGCATTAAAATGCATTAAAATGCATTAAAGGCATTTAAATAAGCAGACTAGTGTAGTCCACCCATAGCTTTCAAAGCTGGGCTGACAGCTTTAGTTCTCACTCAAAACAGTCAGGTTCCTAAGTTTAACTCTGAGAGCCCTCTGAACTTAAATAGAGGGTAGGGACGTGCATGTACAACTAATCCAGAACAAAGAAGGAAGTATATGGCAAAATGTCTAACCAGCATCCTGAGGCTAGCTAATAGAGACAGCATTTCTTGCATGCAGGGAACTTCCTCCTGTAGCATCATGCCACTGTCATTTGCAAAGCCTTTACTGTTGACACACTCAAGTGCTTAAAAATCAAGATTAAAATGTTTAAGGAAACCAAAGGAAAAGCAATTTTCTTTCTTCTTCAGAAGAGTTTTCTACAAAACACTTTATACTCAGCAAAGATTCAGCAACGTCCACAGAGAGCTGTAGAGGGTGCAGCCCCTGTGCTTGAGCATCAGGGCAGGGAAAAGTTTGCCCCATTACCCCTGACAAGTTTAATTTTACTTCTACAAAAAAGACTTTTGTGCCTTTAGTGCACAACAGTTTTGACAATGTCCATATCTCACCTAAGAGTTCAGCCCACTATCAACAACAATTTTTTATCACAAATATTTCTGAGTGCTCACAGAGAAACCAAAGTAACAAAGCAGACACCTGGCTTGTCGAGTTTTACAGAAGAGTCAACAAAAACTTGAACTTAAAGTCATTTTTCTCCCTGGGTATGCAGATGTTTTGACAGGACCGACTTCATGCATGAGATGGTTCTCATTCTCTGCACCCAGTCAGCCATCACTTGAAGGGTTACTGAGATCATCACTTCCCAAACAGAAGAAGTGTTTAAGAGAAGAGTCAAAAAATATTCTCTAAAATACTAACACAAATTTTCTAAGGGACTTACCAAGATGCAGCTTTAGTGCTGAAAACCACTGTCATTTTAAAAAATAATCTGTTCACATTGTCTAGCTTTGTGGGGAAAATGGTTATTAAAAAACCTCATTTTCCAAGGACACCTTGTGCTTAGCTTGTGTTTGCAATGGTCTTGATATGATCAGGAATCAAAGAAAAATATTCCCTAAAGGGAAAGGCGCCTTCTGGCAAGTTACAAGCATCAGATGACAAATTTGCATCTTCTTACAGAAAACTTTATAAACACAATTATTTATTCAAAACTCATCTCTAGCAAGAGAACTTGTAAATACATGGCAATAGAAAAAATACATTACAGTTAAAAGCATAGATATACGGATAATTCATAGCTTGAGCACACTTATTATTGTTTAATTTAATGCAAAAGGATTATTATGCAATCATTTAATGTTATAAATTGAATTTGTTCCTAATTCTGTCCTTTCATCCTCCCCATACCCCAATTATAAGCTTTACTCTGATATCTAAGTAATTGCCTGGAGGCCCTAAAAATGCACTGCACAACCTTTCATCTAGATCCTTTTAGAAAACTAGAAGCCCAAAGTGTTCACATGAGATTTTTCTCCTGCTGCTGGTAATGCAAATTCCTTCTGCATGCCTTTAGACAGTCTCTCTCTAGTTAGGGTATTTCCTTGTGTTTTCTCTGCTGGCAGTTGTTTCTGTGCCTTTGCCAGCCAGGAGGTGGTCCTGGGTCTGCACAACACTGGAGGGCAGAAAACACTGGACTGCATCCACATGGCAGCACAGACCTGTTCTCTGACACAACACTGGAGCGGCTGCTGGGCTGCCTCCCCAACAGGAGGATTCTATTGCACTGGCAAATACAGTTCATTAAAATACTCCTTCCTGAAGTACAGAGGCAACAAACAAACATGGATGGAACTAAACACTGAACTACAAAGAGAGGAAATTCCTCCCTACTCCAAAAAGCCAGAGACCTGCCTACCACACCAATAGGAGAAAGTAAAATTATTATTACAGTCAACTGGAACTACCTGATTTTGGACATGGAGGTTATGTATGTATTTAATATTATATAGGTGCTTATTTATAATTTAAAATTATACCCCCTAAAGCTTGTAGCTGTCAGATTACATTTAAATGGGAAACACCAGTGCAATAGAATGGGACACTACACTGCCCACGGCTGGGATTTCCTGGAGGCAGCAGACAGGGGAGCCCTACTCAAGTGATGTGAGATTGCAATGCCTTAATTTTACAGCCACAGCATATCTGTGTGGTGCTCTGCATATGGGACAGCATTTTAGGCCTATCCAAAGTACTACATGACTGATTTTTCAATACAGGTACATGGGAAAGGAATTGTTTTAATGGAATACAAAGAAAACAACAGTAGAGATAATGACATGATGACTCACGACATACCTCCTGCATAATTTACACAAACAAAAGAATTTTTATGCTACTGTATTTTATTCAGTATTAAAAAACTCCCCTACATTTTCTGGAAAAAAAACCAAACAAAAAACCCCAACAATCCCCCCACACCCCTAAAAAAACAACCAAAACCAAACCTAAATCTTCTCAAATGTGTACAGCGAAGTTGAAAACACACTACCGGAATAGGTTTCACAATAAATCTATCTTTCTGACTGAAAAACTTTTATATGCATAAACATGCACATACACACACACACAAAAAGGAATAATTTGACTTCTACTCAAATGAAAGATGAAAAGTACAGCTGGTGGCAGTGCAAAAGAAGGATCAATGTTAAAAACCTCTAATCCTTTATTAGCTAACAAGCAATTTAGAATCACTGGCTAAAAATCCTTTTGTGTTTTGATCTAGAATATTGATGCAGCCATTAGTTACAGAAGATATTCACGGGCCAGACTCTGAAATGAGCCTGCAAACATGGTTGTGCTGAAATCACCCCCAGCAGTTGCTATTTTTAGCCCCATTAGTGAGCAGAAAGAACCCGGCAGCATCAGGGCTTTGCAGGTGTTTCCTGGGCATCCCTGGCTTGGGGCAGAGCAGGCAGCAAGTGGAGGGAGGGCATTTCATCCACCAGGCTTGGGCAAGCAGCTGCCAGAGGAGGATAAGAGATGCTGGAGCAGAATTCAGACACAAGAGAACAAACTCAGAATTGAAAAGGTTATTTAAAGCTATTAAAATTCAAGAATTTTCTCACATGCAGCAGAAAAGCTGAAAATTACTACCAAATTTATACAAACTGAGTATCTTAGAGTGTTTTCAGAGTTGAAGACAATCTTTCACTAGTCCCTTGCAGTAAGCAATGCTGAACTAATTTTAGTTTTTGTCCTGTATGTCTTCTTCCCTGCTTCTGTGCTTCTTTTCCAGACTGTCCATGTTGACTTAGCTTGCTCTGAAGCATATGCACTCTGCATTATTAGAGATTTTCAATTTTTCTCTTCTCCTTCACCATCTGGAGGCTGATGAATCCACAAATGCAAAGAAGTATTTTCTTGATTATCAAAAATACTTCTGCTCCTGACTATTTAAATCGAAAGGAAATTAAAGGAGGTAATGAAGACAAGAGAATCCTGTTTGCAACCAGTTTTTACCACTCAGTAAACTTTCTGGATTTCAGATTACAGATCTGAAACCAAGATTAAATGCTTGGTTTTCTTTAGCATTGATGTTTATATATTTATAAATTAAAATAAAAACTTTATTTTCAAACTAACTGCTTTTAATATGCTATAGTTAGAACTCATTATGCTAGTAAAATATTTAGTAGAAACACTATAAATATAAGCGGGTACTGCAAATATGTGTGTGCCCTACACAAATTAGGTCAATCCTTCACATCTAATGTCAAAAAACTGTCCCTCACTGCTCCTCCCTGAATCCTTTCAGTGTGTGGAAGCAAGATCCCAGAAAACCATATAAAACCACACCAGCCAACATGGAAAACAAAGGCAAACAAGGGGCCCATGAAAAGACAGGGCCTTGCTGGGGCAGGGGTGGAGCTGATTCCTTTTAATTCTGATACCCAAACCATAGCAAAAAGCTAAGTTCTACACTAGAAATTTGGTATGCATGTTTAGTATCAGCTTTGTTCTAAAACTGCATAGAAATCAAGTTTAAACCTTTTAACCAGGCCTCAGTTTGACTTTCACATGCAGTTTTTGAAAAGTTCCATTTGGGAAAGAGGCTGACTGCGCCTTTTTCTGTAACAAAATTAGTTTATTTGCTTTAATGAAACATTTAGACAATACAAAAACACATATCCAGTCATCCTAGATAAGAACTCCTTCAAATTATTCATTTTATCCAAAGCTGCAACCACCTGATCATGCATTTGGAAAATACAGGATGATTTGTGTATGAATTAGTCATCAGTAGTTCGGTTCACTATGTTTGCTTACACTGATGGAAAGCTGCACACGCCCCATATTGCTGTTGCTGGGACGACAGCAGCCATGAAGAAAAAGCAGTGACTTGCAAGGAGCACGTGTGACTTAACAGTTTTGGTAAGAAAGGGAGAGAAAAACCTAG